GTTTTTCAAGGATTCCCTTGGCTTTGGTGAAGCTGCAACAGTACTAGGTAAGTTCTTTTCTTAGTAGTCTTGATATTTGTTGCTGTTTTGAGATTGTAATTTTTTGAAGTTAATTTCTGGTTCTGAATAAAGAAATAAGTAATGTCATACAAAAAATGCTATTTCCAATGGTTCTTTGATGAACTCGACTTAATAGATAGAAAAGTAATCCATACACAAGGTAGGTGGCTAAGATGCTTCATATTAGGTGAAATTATTCACTGCATCCTTGAAATTATTTAAGCATTTCTCTTTTCAATGCAAATGTGTTTGTATTCTGTTGTGAGGATCTTACTGTTAATACATGAAGCTAATTACGATTGCTTGTTTGAATTTTAATGAACTTTTGTTTCTTTCCTCTGTACACATGCATGTCTGTGGGAATTTGCACGCATGCAGTCTCTCCCCACTTGTTTAGGTAGTGGCATTGTGGTCAAAAGATTATAAACTATGTGTACATACTCATAAATGAGGAATGTGTATCATTTGAGTGCAAAGAAGATGTGGGACTAGCTGATGTTATTTGTAATGACTTGAAACAAAGTCCCTAGTGGCACTGGCACATCAACAGTTATCTGAGAAGAAGCTGAGTATGAGAACTTTGCATATTTCACTTACAAGTATTAAATAGTTGCAGACGTGGGGACAAGAGGATGCTTAAAAGGGAACCTGATGAAAATTTGGTGATATATTATGTTTTTACGTTCTAAACATGTAAATGGTTGAAGCGTTGAAAGTGTTTACAGTAAAAGTTGCATTAGTCGTAAACTACTTTGCACTTTCATTGCATATTCATCTATTTTTATTTCTGTTGCTTTTAGTAATATCTTTTCTTCTTTTCTCCCCAGGGGCAAGTACTGTTTCAGGATTCTTTGCTTCAGCTTGCAGTTTACCCTTTGATTATGTTAAAACACAAATCCAGAAAATGCAACCTGATGCTGAGGGAAAATATCCATACAGTGGCTCTACGGATTGTGCCTTAAAAACCTTCAAATCCGGAGGACCATTCAAATTTTACACTGGATTCCCTGTCTATTGCATTCGAATTGCCCCCCATGTCATGGTACTAACATTCCCCTTCTCTTAGACCTCTTCAACAATGAGCTGAAAGCTTACCTTTAGAATGTTAACAAGTAACTATTTACATGTGTTTGATTGCTCGATGTTGCTGATATGCAGATGACTTGGATATTTCTCAACCAGATCCAAAAGATGGAGAAGAAAGTCGGACTATAAACCCTGTTCGGTCAAAGGGTCAATAAAATTATCTGTTGGTTCTGTCATATTCATTTTTGCTGGTTTTACAACTTCACACCCTCAGAGCCAAACTGTCTATCTAGAAATTTTGAACTGAATTTGAACAGCATTGGGAACAAGTTCACCTATTGTCTTACGGTTATTGTTAGGGTGTGACTTAAACAGGACATTAGAGGTACCATTTGGGTTAGAGAGAGTTACTGAATTGAAAGACTCGGGGAAAATATAAGTAAAATAAATTTCTGTGCCCCAGAAGCAAGTATTTTGGCATGAAGACTCGTGTATTCTTCGAGAATTAATTCAAAAACCAGGGGAATGACGGTTAACCTTTTGGTGGAGGGGTGTTTTTTTAATGATATATCTCTAATAATTTGCTTGCTAAAATTTATCTGCTAGATGAATGGTGTTCAAATATTGTTATGGAGCTGCTGTTTTTTGGGCTAGATTGAATAAATATTTAGCTAGTTTAGATTGAAAGACACTCTTTTGCACCTGTTTGATCCATCTGTCTAAAAAGAAAGGAAATTTTCTTACGTAAATCTGCCAAAAAAGAGGAAAGTGAATTTGCCGATTTTTTGAAAATGTTATTATTAAAATATTATAATTTTATAATATAATGTATTATTATATAATTAATTTTTTAATTTAAAATTTTACCTATATATTTTGTGTTATATTTATTTAATATTATATTATAATTTTAAATTTATAATATTAAATAATATTATAACTATAACAATAAGATTATAAATTTTTCATCATGGTTATGGAATTGAAATCTAAGAAACAGAAATATAATGAAATCAATCAAGATATGATGGAGTCGACCTGATAATCGGCTTCAGCTCACTGAAATTCGGTTTTGCCAGCCAAGCAAGCACCCAGAAGGCCACGTGGCATTATCCACGTGGACAGTTTGCGGTCCTAAAAAATAATTTAGAAACAATATTTTTATCTTTTTATTTATAATTTTATATGTCATTTAAATGATTAATTTTTTATTCATTTAAAATAATAATATTAAATGTATTTACTTATTTAATGACATATAAAAATTATATAAAAAATTTATTTCTATATTACCACTTTTGCTGACCTTTTCACCTTTACAAAATCAAAAATTCTTCTATATATAAATATGGAAAATGATTCAGAATAATTTTTATATTATATTTGGTATAATTTTATATATTATTTAAGTAATTAAATTTTTTTATTATTTATAATTCATAATATTAAATATATTTAAATATTTAATAAAATATAAAAATTATATCAAATATTTGTATAAAAAAATGATTCTTATATTACTACTCTATATATATATGAGAAAAATAAATATCAATTATAACTTTAAAAAAAAATTAATTTTAATTTTAAATAATATCATTTTATTTAATTAATATTTAATTTAAAATTTAAAAATTTATATTATTAAATATTAATATAGAGTATCTTATTTTAAAAATTAATTATATATTTTCATATAATTTATTTCTAAATTTATATTTTAATATTTAACAAAATAAATTTTTAAAATTTAAATTATATTTACAAAAATATAAAAATTAAGATTTCCTAATAGCCAGTCCACGATCGACATTCCCAACACCCTTCTTATATTTACTTTTGGAATGCTCGCTGTAGCTGTAGGTTGGGTTGCGATTGGGAGCCACATTCTCACTATATCAGTGGGGACGACGTAGGGAAGAATTTTCCGGGAAAGCCCACCTCTCCAAGTAAGCGCGGGCGATATACTGTTCATGAAAATGGCAAGTTCGTGCGCCGTACTCTTTCTGTAACTATAAAAGGCAAAACCTTTTCTCCCTCTTCTTATTCCTCAAATCCGTTGAGGGTGAAATGGAGGGCAATGCATTACCCACTGGGTATTCGAACGAAATGGGTACTCCAAAAGAGGTTCCTTTACGGGAAATCACCTCTGCTCATGTAGGCGCGAGTTCTTGGTGGCTGACCTTAAAGCCATTTGTTAATGCTGGATTAGCACAAACGATCCGTGAATCTATGAAAGTCACAGTGATAGAATGCTTTTTTCACTTCCCTTCCGAGAGGTTTCAAGCGGAATTGAAGGAACCGAAAGAGCAATACATGGTCATACGCAAGGTCAGTCTTTGAAGTCCATATTTTTAGCTTATTTGGTGTATGTATCACCTTGCTCCTGTCTAATTTCAATGCTTTGTGAAAACGGAAGAGATTGTAGCCCAATTCCTATCACCTCAAGTTGTCTAATGAAATGTCCCTTCATCTTGAAAAATTAATGTGATTTTGTTTGGATTATCTGATTAGGGTTTTGGATGGAATATTAGAGTTAAAGATCTACTTACTCACACACAAATCTTACATATTACACTTTCACAAAATTTTAACCATTCATTGCTTTACTTTTAATAATTAAGATTTATTTATTTTTATCATATTTATTAAAACCAATTATTATTTTCATCTAAAAAGTCTTAATTGAAAGTGGAAAGATAAATGATCTAAGATTTTATATAAATATGGTAGGTAAGATTTATATATAAATGGATCAAATTGTGGTTCTTTTTGAGATATCCTCCAAAGCAAGAATTTTTTTCCCTAAGGTAGTTAATGCTTCCCTATTCCATGGATTTGAACCCAGACCTTGATCCAAGGTTTCTAAAGCAGTTAGATATTTCTTAGCAGTTGGCATATAGTAATAATAATTTGTAATGGTAAGTGATATCTGTAGCAGTGCTAATCACATTTTTCGCATCAGTTCTTTTTATAGATTACATTGTCTTACACCCTTTTTTCTACACAGCACATACCTCAAATCATTCTCTCGTCATCCTTAATGAAAATTGTGTCAGTCGGATCGTATGAGTAAGCATTCTCATTCCCCCACTGCTAGTTTCTGCATATTGTATAATTGTATTCTATAAATTGCTTGGATAAAGTAGGGAACTAAAACAGCTGGAATTGCCTTTCTAGTTTCCACTTTCCAAAGGGCCTGATAGAATTACAAACTCTGCATTGATGTGCAGGGGATTTAACATGCAATGTGAAATACCATTTGATGTAAACTGTGGTGATAGGATGAGAGCTCGAGTTTTATGCATTCTAAAACTTGAATGAATTCATAGTCAAAAGACAAATGAAATCATTGAAGAACCATTAATAATGGATTTATTAAATCTACTAGGAGGAAGCATGAATATTTTGAAGTTATATTAGATGTAGAAGGTTGTTTGGGCATGTTTGTTTGCCGTCAGCACCAGTTATGCATAAAAGTCTAGTCCAAAGACTCCAGACATCAATGCTTATGCTCGACCTCTTTGAATATCCTCCCAAAATATTCTTTTACATGTCTTTGTATTTCCAACAATATTCTTCTTGTACACTTTCATTCATTTTTATTCAGAATTCCAATTACAACTCATTTTGAGGTACAAGAGTTGAATCTGAGTCAACTAGTGCTAACATTAATTTCATTCAGAAGTGGAAATTCGGCAGATCTTTCCAGACAATTTCAAAGAATTCAGATTATAATCTATCCAAAGCAGCTCAAGATGTTGCTTGTGATTTTTCAGTTTTCCAACAATCTTGCTTCCTTTTCCCTTCTCCTTCAGAACTCTTTATTGATGGTCTTCAAACTGGCCATTTAATTAGTTTTACTGAACTTTGTATATCTTTCAAAAAAACCTGAACGTTGTAATTTGAGGTCTTTGCAGAATAGTGCATCTTCTTTAGTATGCCTTTGACTTACATTAAATCTCTGAGTTATGTTAGCTTTACTCTCTAGCCTATTTTCTTTTCTATTAAAGATGTTTCTAAATCTTTTGATGTTGAAAACAAGTTTATATAGAGTACTATTTATTGTTATGAGTCTATGAGGCAAATAGTCAGGTAGATGAGCAGATGCTCATTTAATTTATTTATTTACATATGTCAGCGTTCTTACTCTATGAAAGTTATGAACTTATAGTTGCTGCTATGTTGCATCACATAAAACTACTTGTTGCTGAAGTTTTTTTCTGTCCTTCTTGTTATCAGGGTTTTGAAGAAACAGGTAGCCAATGCCAGAGGAATGCCACTGACTCTTTATCAGGATGCTTGCTGTGGCCTACTAGCTGGGTCAATAGGCGCATATATTTGTGCTCCACTTACTGCAGCACGGATTAGTATCTATGCTGATTCAAAACGACCTGCTGCAAAACGTGTCAACTATAGAAGCCTGTTTGATGCCATGTACCGTATTGGGGCAAGTGAAGGTCTTCCAGCATTATGGAAAAGGTCTGCTGCTTCTGTAAAAGGAATGGCAGCATATCATGCCAGCATGCTTCCTACTTATAATCTAAGTAAAGAATTTTGTAGGGTTGACTTTGCTTTTGATGAATCCAAAGCCCAGCTAGGTAATCACACTCTTCTGTATAATTCTTCTGATCAAATGCTTACATGCTAGTTCACGAGTATGGTACAATACTCATGTTGGATTGATGTGAATGATTCTCATGGATGGAATCTCCTACAAGAGCCTTGCATGCTGCAAAACTCTACTTCTGTTGCTAGCTCTTTTAGACTAATGAAAGCTCATTTGTGTTCAGAACACCTTTCTGAAGATTTTTTAGGCCTTTCTACCACTGTTAAGCCATTCATTACCAATGTTTGTCTACCATAACCCCAAATATGCTTTCCTATATGAGTTCATTCGTGCATGTGCATTCTATTTGCATTAAATGAAATTCTTTTGAAGGATTCATATTTACTCTTCATAATAATCCACCGGATAGTTGTTTGCAAAAACACAAATGTTAAAGAGTACATAGCTACTGTGCAAGATACATTATTTTTCTGTGGGGATGATTTCACTTTTAGTTTTTATGCTGATAAATTTGTTCTTTGAATCAGGTGCAGGTGCTATTTCAGGTTTCTTTGCAACAATTTGCAGTGAGCCTGTTGATACTGTTGCAAGGAAGGTGCATAACATGAAACCAAATGCTGATGGTAAGTACCCTTACAAAGGTATCCTTGACTGTGCCTGCGAACTTTGGAAAGCAGGAGGGCTTTCTGCTTTATACCCCAATTTTTTACTAAGGTCCAGCGTATCCGCCCTTCAGGCCATGGTATGTATTCTCTCTTTTGCCTAACTAAACTGATCTCAGTTACAAATATCTGTGTATAGCATCTATTCATTGGTTTATTTTTCTTTTGTTGTGTGAGTGTTTCTGCAGATCTTCTGGACAATTTTTGAGAAAATCCGAGAGTTTGAGGAAGCTTGAGAAACCAGGTAAAAATCCAGTTCACGAAGGAAGTAGATTTGTTTGCCTTTAAATTTAGAAACTGAGAGACAGAGTCTGGATTGCACTTAAAACAGGTTTTGAACATGTGACAGTTCTTAGCTTATATTCAATGACTAAATGGTAGACCTTTTGGAGCTGTATATCTGCTGATAGTTATTCCAAAATCTTTTGCTTATGTTAAAATGAACACTGAATTTCCCTGCTCAAAGGCAGCAAGGCCTGCAAAACATGATCTCAAATTGAAAAGTTTGTACCTTTTTATTTAATCTGAGAGAATACAAGAGTCTGTCTTTATTTTCGAACTTATATATATCTGGCTCGATGTTGCGGCGCTGTCAATTGCCCTGAAAAAATACATAGTTTCTTGGTGAATGGAGAATTTTAAGGCGTTTTTAACTGAAACACCACCGCCGGTGTAAAGGTGGATACGGTTTGTTGACAACATAACCTCTAACAATATGTATATGTGATTTCAGCTCAGAAATGGTTAGCTAGCCTGTGAAACTCAGCGAGGTAAAGAACATCTTGGGAAGAAATAGTTAGCTCTAACAAACATATTTACTTCAGTCAATGTAAATGAACTGAGGACAGCACATATGTAGTCTAATCAATATGGTTAGCCAATGCCTTAGATGGGTGCTTTTCAACCCCAGGTAGAAGACATCTTTGTAACCAAATGTTCAATTTTGTCTCCCATTTTTTGTATAAACATTTTCAAAGGATGCTTTAATATAAAGTGGAAGGTTGTTGGGTCTTTTTTGGATGCCTCTTTTGCATCAGTTTCTTGTAGTATTCTTTTTATGTACAACAGAATTTCCCCATATTCAATGGAGTCTTATGTTTTTCAGTCTAGTTTGAGACCAAATTTACAAAATTATAATTAATGAATAAACATGAAAAAGAGTTTTATTAAAAATATTTTAATAATTTTATTATCAAAAGTGCACATTAAATGCCTAGTCGAACCTAAAAAGTATATATTTTTTTATAGTTAATCCTTCCACGGCGTTGAAAATATAAATCCAATTCATCATCTCCATTGAGATATTTTAGAAGATAATATTGGATTGAATCATGAAACCAGAAAGCTTAACAGAGAAGGACCATGAAAAAGATTGAAAATGGGGAAACAGGGTAACATGAAAGCCACTCAAATTTTGGTCCCACTTGACATTCTTGGCGTGAAGACTAAAGCAGAAATCTTTACCCTAACTACCGCCTCCTTGCTGATGATATTTCTATTCCCTGCTTCCATGCAGCCATGTGCAGAGCATGTAATGTGATATCATGTGTGCCACATGTCCAAGTTCCCTTTGCAATTTCTTTTTAATTTTAGTACATTATAATACATGCCGAGGCAATTACAAAATGGAAATATCTTCTTTGTTTGATTCGTGGTGGTTGGAATCCGATGGGAACAAATTAGTCTGAATTTCAATAATTGATTTCAATAAGTGAAATAAA